CTGGGCCAACATCACTATTGTTGCCATGTGGGAGCCCACTTGGCCAATCCATCTCACTGGGGGTCTTCCTCTTTCTCTCTAACCCTCCACCTTACCAAATAAGATATCCTTCTTCAGCAACTGGTCCCTCTTGACAATATGTCCAAAGTATGAGAGATGAAGTTTGGCCACCCTGGCCTCCAAGGAGTACTCTGGCTGCACTTCTTCCAACATGGATGTCTTGGTTCTTTTGTCAACCCATGGCACTTTCAATATTCTCCTCCAACACCATAACTCAAAAGCATCAATTCTTCTATAGTCTTCCTTATTCACTGTCCAGCTTTCGCATGCATATGAGGTTATTGAAAATACCGTGGCTTAGCTCAGGCGCACCGTAGTCTTCAAGCTGACATCATTGCTCTTCAACACTTTTAAAAAATTCTTGTGCAGCAGAATTGCCTAAAGAATTAATATCATAGAAGTGAGGAATTACAACTCATACTATAATCACATTAGATCAGATCATGGGGTTGATTGTATTATGTCACATGCCATCATGAAGGTGAAAACTACATCTTCACTGTTAAACACCACTGCAAATCCTGGCCAAGCCAAATTGACACAAAACCCTAACTATCACAACATCCACCATATCCAATAATTTTCTCTTGGATATTCGTGATAATATTTGATCTTGGTATTTATCTGATTTCCCAGTTTATAAATGTTCAGCCTCTAATAAAGTCAATATTTCCTTTTAAGAAGTTTTTTTCTTTCTCAGGAATTGTCCTGTAACTCACTCTTTCCTGTTACTATGACCTAAAACTGGGTTTATTGTAACTGATGCTCCCTGGATCCATGACAAGAATGGGGTGAAATAATCTGCTCACACAGTTGGCTATCCCTGTGTATAGAGGAGTTCCATTTATTCTGATGCCCACTGTTGGTTTGTCACCGCAATTAGTCCCAGACACTTTGAAAATGCCACTACTTGCTGTGCTCTGAAAGAGATGGGAATTGATCAGCCACCTGCTAGTTGACGGACCCCTAGATGCAATGCTCCCAACCAACATCCTGATTCAGATGTCCCTTTACTTTTTGAGTCTCAGAATAATCCCATGAACCTGTCCCTAGTCATTTGTGGAAGCAGCTCAAAAGGAAATGAAAGAAGACACAGACGTCCGACTTGATCATAATGCTAAAGCCACCCATTTATACAATTTCTAGAGTCACATAATTCACAGCTGACCCACTTGCTTCCACGTTCACTGACAATGAGGAAAAACAAAATCTATATTGTGTTATGAACCCCACCAAAAGACAGCTGCAAAAACTGGGAAAGTCTTCCTTTAAATAGGCATTACAAAGGAAACGAAAAATACCTCATCTCAACATGAATTCCTCTTCTAGTTCTAGCCTAATTTCTTTATTGGCTTCTCACCAAGTCTTTTTCAAGTACAGACCATTCTCAACAACCAACCTCCTCTTGTCATCTCTGAGTAATGATATTTCCTATATAAATTTTGGGATTCTTTCCCTTCTTTTCTATCCCCTTGTCATCAGTGACCTCTTCAGTTAAGTACCAAATTTTTTATACAGATCTTCCCTTGGATTTGACACTTCCATCCTCTTCCTTTCCCTAGACATTTGTAACCCCTTATTTATAAGTGTTGTTGTTGTTAAGTGCCATCAAGTCAGTTCGACTCACAGTGACTCTGTATAGAGTTTCCGACGAGTAGCTGGTAGGTTTGAACTGCCAACCTTGTAGTTAGCAGTCCAGTGCTGATCCTACAGAACCACATTCACTGTCCCTGCTAATACTTCTCTTTCTACTTCTGGGGTTCTCCTTATTTTTCTATGAATCCAATGAATCACCCAGCTTGCTCATTTATACTGCTAAACTCTTAACACTCCCTATGTCCTGATCAAGTGAGGAAAGCAGAGAAGCCTTCTTTGATGAGCAGAATGGAAAGTGATTTTATAGTTGATCTTTCCATTTTCTCAGCTACTATTTTTTTGTCCTTTCATGTAGCCTTTATACACGTGACAGTATTTTCCCTGAATATTCAGTATATTGTAGAATGAATTGTGTTTTTGATTTCTACTATTGTTGTTAAGTGCTGTTGAGTCAGGTCTGACCCATAGTGACCCTGTATAGGGTTTCTGAGGAAAGACTGAGGGAGATGACTAATGAGAACATTCCTGAAGAGATGGCCTTGCTCTGCCCTGGAGCAGGCAGCAGGCACTGGTCAGGGCAGGGGAGGTGGCCGGAGTCTCTGTCAGCATAATTTGTCATCTGGTCATAGACATGAATGGGCTAAGGCAGCAGGGGGACACTATGGGCCTGCGTCTGAGGGCAACAGGGAAAATGACCACTTGTCTCCTGGTCTCTACTTAATGCTCTGAGGAGCAGCTGGTCCTCTCTGGGACTCTGGGAAACAGACCAGGCCTAGCCAAAACTCAACCCTCCCAGATAAGACATCCAGTCACACAGGACCCTGGGGAAAAGGAACACAATTGCATGAAGGATTCTTCTCTTCTCTGGAGCTAGGGGGACAAGAGAGCTCTGTGGTGTGACTATTAGAGCAAATTTTGGGGATGTCTGCACCATGGTCTGGATTCCACCCCTTCTCTTCACCCTCCTCCTCCATTGCACAGGTCACGATGATCCTCAGCCCCTTGATTCCCCAACTCCCTTAATAACCTCCCACATACATTGCAGACATGTCCTTCTCTCTTGTCCTTCCTCCAAGGCATAAGGAATCTCTGTGTTTTAAGGGTCCCTCTCACAGCTTGTGCTGACTCAGTCACTCTCTACATCTGCCTCTCCAAGAGCCTCAGTCAAGCTCCCTACATAACACCTACACCATTGAATGGTTTCAGTACAGACCAGGGAAAAGCCCTTGATTCATGATGGCAGTGGGCAGCAGTGGGAAGTCAGGACTTACAGGGGATGGCATCTCTGATCGCTTCTTAGGCTCCAGATTGCTACTTAACCATCACTAACATCCAATCTAAGGCTGAGGCTGACTACATCTGTGGCATATCCATCATTGTGATGAATCACTTCACAGTGACTGACCCAGGTGGATGGAAAACTGAGACAAAAATTATTTTCTCTGTCTTGTTACCAATCTAGGAGTCCTGGTGTGGCACTCTAAAATGAGTACTTGACAGCAAAGTCAGTTTGAACCACAAAGTTGTTGCTTCAAACCCACCAACCACTCCTAAGAAGTGCTATCCAGGGTCCTTATGAGTCAGAACAACAACAGTACCAATCACACATGTTAGCTCCAGAAAGTGTCTGGCATCCTTAACCATCAAAATTGTTGAGTATTTTCTAGGAAAATTTCAAGGGAAGACCCAAACCTATAGTCATATTCACCACAGGCTTCATGGGAACAAGGTTGCTGGCCAGGCTGCTCAAGAGTATACAGATATGTAATATTCATGAAAATAAAAAACAGAAACAGAGACCAGGGAAAAAGTATACTGAGGAAGAGAACAGCAGATGCAAAGGATTATTTTGAATTGTATTAAAAATATGCACCACAAGACATACACTAATTCAACAATTCCTATGTTATTGTTGTTGAATGCTGTGGAGTCAGTTCTGACTCATAGCGACCCTGTATACAGTTTCCAAGGAGCATCCAGTGAGCTTGAACCAGTGATCTTGTGGTTCAAACCAACTTTGCAGTCCAGTGCATTAACTCATAGTGTCACAATAGGAGTCCTACAGGCACGAATGATTATATAGATTCTTCAAGTTTTATAACCACTCTCACTATCTTTTTCTGAACATTCCCACCACCATTAAAATAAACTCACCACCCCTAAGCAAAAACTTCTCATTTCCTCCTCCCTTCCAACCCTGGCAGCCATTAATAAACTTTGGTTCCTATATATTTGTTTATTTCATATATGCAACATCATATAGTATTTGTCCTTGTGTAATGGATTTACTTTGCTCAGCATGTTTTCAAGGTCCGTCTATGTTGTTGCATGCATCAAGACTTCATCCCTCTTTAAGTAATGTGCTCTTGTATGTACATGCCACATTTTGTTGATCTGTTCATCGGTTGATGGGCATACCTGAGGTTCCCACATTTTGGCTATTGTATTCCTGTTTTTAATACTTTTGGATATATATGTAGGATTGTAATTTATCTTTCACATGAGAGCTCTAGATTAAACTTATTGAGTAACCACCAAATTGTTTCCCACAGTGGCTATAGCATTCCACATTCCCACTAGCAATGGATGAGGGTCTCAGTTTCTCCCCAAACTATCCAACACCTGACGTTTTCTGTTTTACTGAGCTTTGCTGTTCTAATGAGGTTTTGACTATGGGAGTCCTGGTATTGCGCTGTGGGTTAATGTGCCAGACTTCAAAGCCATTTGAACTGCAAGGTCGGTGGTCACCAGGTGCTCCTTGGAAACCCTATACAGGGTCGCTATGGGTCAGAATCAACTCGACAGCACTTAACAACAGCAACATATGTATATATTTCCAAGGAGCAGCTGGTGACCTTGAAGCACAGACCTTGCACTGTGTTTCTGATTGCTATTGAAGAGGCTCCAATGGAAAAGAACAAAAGGAGATAAATATATTACTAAAGAAAAGGTCTTGCTCTGTCAGGACAGGGGAAGAAACAGAAACATCTGTCAAAATCATCTGTTATCTGGTCACAGACATGAATGGGTCAAGCAGCAGAGGGCGCTGTGGTCCTGTCACTCAGAGGTCTGTGGAAAATGGCCACTTATTTCCAGGCCTTTGCTAAGTGTTCTGCCCAGCAGCTGCTTCCTCTCTGGGCCCCTGGGGAGCAAGCAGATCAGGCCCAGGCCAAGCCAACCCTCCCAGATATGGCACCCAACCACTTTGTCCATGGAGGCATTGATTGGCCAGGGGAACAGGAGCACATTTGCATGAAGGGCACCTCTCTCTTCTAGGGTTTGAGGGGGATAAGAGGGACCTGTGGTGTATCTGCTCCATCAGAGTTGCCTGGGGTATCTGCACCATGGCCTGGATCCCACTCCTTCTCCTCACCGTCCACTGCGCAGGTGAGGGGGTTCCTCAGCATTTTGATTCCCCAACTCCCTCAATTACCTTACAAACTCATTCCAAATGTGTTTTTCTCTTTTGTCTCTCCTCCGAGGCATAACGAGTGTCTCTGTTTGCAGGGTCCCTCTCTGCGCAGCCTGTACTGACTCAGTCACCCTCTACATCTGTCTCCCCGGGAGCCTCAGCCAAGCTCACCTGCACCCTGAGCAGAGAGCACAGCA